AAAAAAATTAAAAAAAAAAAAAAAAAAAAAGATACAAAAAGGAAGGGACCGAGTTAGGAGGAAAGAGAAGCACACCGCTTTGGTTTTCACACGGTCTGTTTATTCATTTACCGCGTTTAGGCGCGGTCGCTGCTCTGGGCTGAGCCCGAGGTGTGCGCTGCTCCGCGGGGCGCACCCAGGCGAGAGCGAGCCAAGGGGTGCCCAGGCCAGGCTCACCCCAGGGAACGAACCAGGGCCCAACGCCTCCCCTTCCATACTCCCATCCTCAGCGAGTACCTCGGTATCGCCTGTTCCACGCACGTTTCTCCGCTGTTTGCTAGTCGGTAATGACATTGTACGCCCAGGCCCCAAATGGGGAGAGACGGGATTAGTTGAAGCAGAAAAGGTTTGGGCTTTTCGGAATCGGAAAACGTGGGCCGTGTTCCCACTGTTTCACCAAAGCTCGTAGTAGCCATGCTGCACGGCATATGGATGTCCTGAGTAATCACAGATTTGTTGCGGTACTTTGTCATTGGGAGATATCAAAATGATGCTGAACTATAAGAAAGACATCTGTGAGCATTAGCTATATTCTAGCTTTTTAAAAAAAAAAAAAAGCTACATTAAGAAATAAGCAAATGTCACATTATTAATGCAAATGTCAAAATTAAGTTTTTACATTTAAACCTAAATTCTTCTTGAACATCTTGTCTTACAACAGCCTTCAGTTATGTTGCTACATCATTTTCCTCAACCTTATACATGCTTTTCTTCATGTAGTTTGTCCATCCATTTTTACACCATTTGCCTGGTCAGAATGGTCCAGTATTATTGTCTTAGCTGCACTTTAGCCGTCAGGAAGGATGAGAAGGCTTTATTCTGCATCCCAGAAGTTAGGGGGAAAGTCATCACTGAAAACAACAGGGGCAGAATTGCCACACATGCACACCTATCCAGCACTGTGTCAATAATTCAGTAGTAATAAGTCAAAACATGGGTGTTTGCCCCTTTGGGTGGTAACACAACCTTCTCGAGATTCAGCGGAGGAGAACCAGGCATTTACGTACGAAACTGTCCTGGACTGCCCTGCCTGTGTGTACAATAGACTTTATCAAACACACGCAGGCTTTCCAGGCTTCAGTTAAATTGGACCAGAAGGATCTTCATGTCCAGTAAATTTTTACTGTTGCTCTGTACAGCTGTGCCTAATACTAGTGCAGGATACTGAGCAGAACAAGTGTCCTTTCTGTGTGTATTATGGCATTGACGCAGCGTTAATTGTAACGTGTTATTTACAAATTAATGTATTGTTGTGTAAAGACAGAGCTGAAGGAACTGGGCGTCTATCATTTATCATTCTGCTGTCATAAAGAACTTTTATTATTGTAAAAATAGCCTTTCTTTCATTACTTTGACGAATAGGGTACGTCATGGACAAGCACGTTGTGCTGGATGCCATACAAGCAGAGAACAAAAAGATGCGCTGTGCCCCCAAATTGCTTACAGCCTCATATAAACACAGTCCTGTAGGTGTTGTAACATAGTTTGTTTCTGGAATCTATCAGATTCTTTAAAAAGGAAAAAAAAATATAATAACGGCACAGTGTTGAACTGGAGGTATTCTCATTGCTCTCCATCCTCCCAAGCTGCCAGTGTGAAATTCATAATCTGGAATTATTTGGCTGGATTGTGCCAGGACCTTTTATGCTATGGAGGTACATGGGAAGAAGCCCTCTTGCTGGGAATGCTGAGATGCCCATAGCTTTGTACTCTTAAGAGGTTAAGAGGAGAGCTGTGCCGTCATTCAGCTTTCCTTACCCTTTCACGTGTTCAGCAGCTTTCAGTGCCAGCCATGCACATACACACGCTCAGCTTCAGTGCACACTTTTAATCAGATTCCATTCCTGTATGTTAGCATCTTTCTCCAATAGTGGTCTTGTTATTTTCAGTGGAAATATTTGTCAGGATTTTTCAGCATGTACAACCACAGCATGGCCTTATCTTTGACTATGAAAACCTCAAGCAAACTGTACTACATGCACCATGTGCAAAACTAAAGGGTTATAATTAAAGCTTATTTTTATGGTAACGTGCAAAGGTGCTTCATGGTGGAATCTGTTTCCTTGTCAATGCTGTGTGCCTCTGTCTTTATCTATAGACCTGAGCAAAGGATGTTGATGTGAGTGGTGAGAAGTTTTTATTTAGTGGGAACCCAGATCTGGCATTCTATTGCAGGCTGAACAATACTAAGATCCTAAAAGCAGCTTGAATAGCTTAAGCCTTTCTTTGGATTGAGAAGTGATTAAAAATGTTTTGTTGGAACTTTATCACAAGACAGCAAGACTGACCTGATATAAAAATACCCAGCCTGAAAGGGAAACATTTCAGCCAAGGGATTAAAGCAGGTGGTCAAAATGCAAAATTCCTGTAGTTCATAGTCTCTGAATACGTTAAGGATGTGTTAGGAGAAGGTCTCCCAAGTTGTGGCCATTTGCAATCTTTGCTGAGATTGGGTGAAAACATCCCTCAAGTTTTTCCTAACCTGTTTGTCAGTCATTCTCCCAATTTAAACCGCAATTTCCCTTTTTCTGACTGCTGCGTCTTACCCAACAGCTCAGCCATAAACTGTAGCAGTCACTGGTCTTTAATTATTGCCTACCAATTCACTGGGGTCCCAATCTTTGGCAATGCCTCCTACACGAGGCCACCAATAATAAATAAAACATTTTAAAAATAAGATAAGCACTGTTCAATGCATCTAGATTTGTGCAGTTTTTCCCTCCTTTCATTTTGTACATAAAGTCCAAACTATAATTTTCATTAGTGTAAGAAATAATTTTGTCATGATTCAATCTTCCCTGATGGTAGAAAATTACTTTCTCCACTGTCAAGTTGGTTCTACAATCATTCCTCCTCTCCATTTGCACTGGGCTTCATGCCTCCCATTTTTCCACTGATGGTTTATGGTCCTTGAGATAGACAGATGGACAGAAAGAAACACATGAATACACACACACATTTTACCCTCTGGAGTGTGATGCCGAATGCCACCAGCATACCTGCGTCCTGTTTAAAATGCCGCTTAAGTGGAAAATTCAGGAAGTGTGGCAGTAGGGATGAAACAACGCGGTTAAAACAGCCACTGACCCCGGTCTCTCAAAACATATATCTGCCCAAGGCAAATATCCTAATACTCAGCCATATTTTAATTTTAACAGCAGCCTTACCGCTGCTTTCTGGGGCCACCACTGGGGAGAAAGAGGCCTCACTATTTTCCCTGCCTCAGTGCTCGTTCTCCACATAGGCTTGACTAGACTTTATTTTGGCTTCTGCAACACTTTCAGGGCAGACTGACCTCTTTACCAGACGCTAGCTTGTCATAACCTTTAAGCATCTGAACATTTTGTATTACCAACGTAAGGGAGTAGTTGAAATTTATTCTCCTGCCTTCTCCAACCGTGTCAGCTCCTCAGGACGAAGGTCAGCCGTCACAGAGCATTGCCTGCGTCTGCTTGATGTGCTGCTTCTTTGAAGGTCTCTGCAGCTCCTTGCACGGCCTTTGCCATGCTCCCAGCAGCAGAGCGCACCCACCACAGCCACCTCCTCCTCTCCAGGGGCTCCTAATGTTGACAGCTCACCTTGTCCAGGCTCCATCTCAGGCTGAACGCTTTTGTTGTATGTGGGTGTGAGTAGGTAAGCGTGCTAGGTAGGAATTATGTCTGAGCGAGTGATCTTTTACACAACTTGAATGAGTGTGATTTGTACACCTGAAGGACATGTACAAATACTTGGACATTACTCCTTTTCCTCCAAAATCCCCACTTATAAACTGCATTTCATAGGCTCATAACAAGCCCTTCAATGCTAGGCAAAATGTGGGTTGCCCATTTTAACTCGTTTGACACTTTCTGCTCTACTCTGAATTGCATCACATACCAATGTCCTTCACCAGCTCCTGACTGCAGGGAAGTGCTCAGTCTCCTCTTGGCAAGGGGACAGGAGCACAGCACACACTCAGATCAACTCTGGGTGGGCAGGTTGCCGTTTGCTCCTCTGCAGTGGTCGAGGTGTCTGTAGAGCCTCTCCATCCACCAGCTGTCTTTTCTTTCCCAGATCTGCAACGTTGGGCAGGATTTGGGTAGAAATAACCATCTCTCTTTAACAGCAAGAAGGCTGATCAGAATCCCTGCAGCTGCAGGAGAACAACCTCTTAAGACAAATGGAAGGAAAAAAAAGATTGGTCATGTTTGATGTGTGCAAGACTTAAATGCCAGAGTACTAATCAGATAGACCCAAATGAAGTACACTTCTTTGGCTCTGAGTGATCTCTAATTCTCCTGGCCCTAATACTACTGTATTAAACAGTGGCTGAAGATTGGTCCTTTCTGGAGCAAATAAAAAGCAGAAGGGAAGAAAGAGCATTGTTTATTACTTCTTTCCCACACACATCCCTCCTTCAAACGAAGAAGTATGCAGTTACATGGACGATTTAGGGGCAGCAGCTGAGCAGGCATAACTATAAAATTCATGTTTTAATAACAACAACAATAATAAGCACACAACAGCATTTATAACCCTAGTTACAGGCCTGAGATATCATATCCATAGCAACTGCAGCAAGCGGTGAATGCCATATATTTAGAGTTCCCGTGCACCTGCCTAAAATAGCCACCGATAAATTATGCTGATGTTTGTGCCTTTTTGACAGCATTTTAAAAGGCTGTCGATGCACCCTACAATTGCGCCCAGCCTTCGTGACGCGGCACAGCAACGGCAATTTCGCTTCCCTACCAAACCTTCGCGGTCTCATGTTTGTCTCCCCTTTCATGTTTCTGAACGTGACAAATTAGTCAAAAAAGACACCTCGAAGGTGAGTGTGGCGATGCGAGTGAGCGATAGGTGCAGGGGAACAGCTGCCTGCTTGCTTCCAGCGTCTGTCGGCTTCCCCGCTCCGGCACCACGGCTGTCAAAACGTGCCTACCGTTAATGTATTGAATTAATAAACTGTTGCAAGTAATTAGGGCTCTATTCTGCTTCTGTTGCAGACGGCGGCAACGCGATCGTGCTGTATATTAATGGCATGTGCGTAAATAGTTTACAAAGAGTTAATGAATGACTGAGAGGTGTTTGAATACATGGCTAGTCAGTTGTGGAGATTGTTACAGAGTCCAACAGGTCAATCGCGTGCTTGTAACCATGGCTTATAAGCATCTACCAGACCATCTGTTGATGTGCTTATTACATTTTATAACACAAACTCCTGATGTCTGCAACGTGCTTGTAACAGCTATTAATCGTGTATTATTAACTCTTTCAAAGCAACACATATTTTAAATTTAATATGTAATATTACC